GAGTTTCACTACACACAGAATTACCCTGATGCCATGAAGCTATGCTGTGCAAATGCCTATTCTCATCTAAACATGGTAGCTGGAGACATTGTAAGAAGTGGGAAAAGATTCAGATGTTCTCAGCTCTTTCACTTCATAATTTCCACCTTTGCCTCAAAGCAACAGTTATGCTAGAAGCAGAGTAAGAAGGAAGTAAAATCCTGGAGTCAGAATCTCTACGTCGAGAGAGCACAGAAACTGTGTGGTCCTTCCCTCTTACCTCCCCCTAGACAAAAGTCAAAGGATAAAAAGGTTTAATAGGGCAGAAGTGGATAAAGTTGGTGATATAAGGGAAACTGCAGATGGCTCCTATCTTTGAACTGCTCTAGCATAGGCCAGTTTGTTTTCCACAAGCATCTGGACTTTTGAACTCTTAGAAGAACAATGATCATCAGCTGCATAAAAAGTCATATGGCAAAAGGTATTTGCCATAGGCAAGCAGATTTTCAAATCAGTGTTTTATTAGTAGGACGTATTCAGTTCTATTAAACTACAGAATCAATATTAAGTGAAATAGGCAACATCTCCCATCCATGGGCCTTCTGCTCTGTATTTCTTGATCGCTCTGCCTTTTTCACTCTTCCGTATGATGTTATCAGATTCAAAAGCAGACATGCATTACGCCCTTTAGACAAGTATTGCTGTTACCTTTTCTTTTGATCACACTTTATCCTGCCGTTCAGTCACAGGTTGACTGTAACTGTTCTTGACTAGCCTTGCCTTACTACAGCAAATAGCTTTTGCTGTACTATAGTTACGTAGTGGAGGGGAGAAAGTAAAGAAAAAAGCATAAGAAGCTGTCTGTGAGCACCACAGTCAAAAAGGGAGGAGGTGGTGCTCCAGGTGCTGAGCAGAGAGTCCCCTGCAGCCTGTGGAGACCATGATGGAATAGGTATTTCCCTGCAGCCCATAAACAGTCCACAGAAGAACAAGATCTATGCAGCCCATAGAGGACATCACTCCAGAGCAGGTGGATTCACCATGAAAGACTCATGGAAAGGCCATGCCAGAGCAAGGACAAAGTATCAGGGAGAAGCAGCAGCAAAGAAGAGCTGTGAGGGAGTGACCACAGACTCTACTGCAGAGGAGGCAATGCAGAGGAGGAAATAAGTGGGAGGAAGGTGTTTTCATTTGCCCTTGTTTCTCACTGCCTAAGTCTATTTGAATTGATGATCATTTCCCTTCAGTCAAACCAGTAACTGCCAAGGCAAACAAACAAGCGATCTCCCTGTCTTTATCTCAAGAGCTTTTTCATCCCATTTTCTCTCCCTTTCCAGCAGAGGAGGGGAAGTGAGAGAGCAGCTGGATGTGACTCTAGCAACCAGCCAAGGCCAACTCATCACAACATGGCAACCTAGAATCATAGAATCACAAGGTTGGAAAGGACCTACAAGAAACTGGACCAAAGTGCTCTGTAAACAGTAGCAAACATAAAAAGTCATCAATGCTACATTTGAGTCAAGTAAGAGGTAACAATTTGTGTTTAAAGAAGGATTAAAGAAGAGAACATTGTCGCTTCCCTACTTCAAGTCAAAAACCCACATGTACAACATCCTCTAATAAGGAGCAGCTGAGGAAGCTGGGATTGCTTAGTCTGGAGAAGAGGAGGCTCAGAGGGCCTTACTGCACTCTACAACTTCCTGAAGGGAGGCTGTGATGAGGAGGGATTTGGCCTCTTCTCCCAGGCAACAAACAGGACCCGAGGAAATGGCCACAAGTTGTACCACAGGAGGTTTAGGTTAGACATTAGGAAGAACTTTTTCTCTCAGAGTGGTCAGGCACTGGAATGGCTGCCCAGGGAGGTGGTGGAGTCGCCGTCCCTGGCAGTGTTCAAGAGGCGTCTGGAAGAGGAGCTACGAGATGTGGTTTAGTGCTTGTGGTAGCAGTGGTAATGGGAGGATGGTTGGACCAGATGATTTTGTAGGCCCTTTCCAATCTTGTGATTCTATGAATTCAGTGATACTTCTCAGACTCAAATTGAAAATGACCTAGAAGCAGACACCTTCAGAAGCGCATTTGGAGAGCTATAGCTATGAAACAATACAATATAGTCCCTTGTGAACAGAGAGAACATACTTGAGTCTAAAGCAGCTGACATATTACAAGCAAGCTACTGAAGCTTCATTCCTTTTACAGAACAGAACATTTAGTTACCACTTTACTTGTGATAAAACTTGGAACTCCCTCTCCAAGAGTAGGATCAACAGTTACTGGCTTAACAGAAAGTGAAATTCTTCTATAACCAACCCAATTGAAGCAAATACACATCCTAACATTTCCATCAAAAGCATCTTAAGCACAACAGGTGAAGTCTGAGTCCTCGTTGGGATAAAAGATTCTTCACGAATTTAGATGCAAGCAAAGAAACCAGCTTGCTAGATAGATTAATGGTAGTAATAAGGAGTTTAAAGGCAGCAGTGAAATTACAGAAACAGAAGAGAAAAAAGAAAACTTTGCATATATTTCACTAAAGCAGAAGTGCAAGTATTTATGTAACAGATTGCTTCAAACCACACGCACTGTGAAGTTAAGGTTTTCCCCACTGCAAATAGAAATCTTACAAGTGGAAGTAAGAATTTTACTGGAAGAACTGAGAGAGCTCAGATTCTGTGAAAAGAAGCTGAATGTCGCAATCACTATCCCAAATCAGCACTTTCTAGCTACTGATCAGCTGATTGGGATCACTCAAACATGGGACCATGAAGTTCCAGGCTACAAACACTGCATTTCTGTCAAGAGACAGGAATTATTTCAAGTCTGTTCAAGAAGTAACCAGAATATTTTCAGGATGCAAGCATTTATAGATGACAAAATGGCTCCTCTTGATAATACAGGTGTTATAGGGAGATAATCATGTGCCAGGCATTTCTCAGGCTCAATCTGAAAAGCAGGCTACTTTGTTATAGTCTTTCTGTAAATGACTGGGGAAGCACACATGGTTAATAGTTCTAAAAAGAGCAATTTCCCTGGACTGCAATGTTTTAATATCTCCTTGAAAACCACCAAACTTGCAAGTTTTAAGAATGTTAGCTATTAATCAGTGTCCAACTACACACATAAGTACAGTCCTGCTCACACATTATAGCATAATCCTTATTCATGGAAGCTGCCTGATGGAAATACTTCAAACAGACAACCTGAACTCTGTGTGTCCTCACACTTGTCCCCTCAGCAAAGGCACATACAAAAAAAATGTAAGTGAAGAGATTAGACAATCATATGAGGAGTAGGAAACGGAAGGTCAACAAACAATAACAAGAAGCCTGATAACGGCCTGACTTGTGGCCTCAAATGGCCACAAGTTGTGACAGAAGAGGTTTAGATTAGACATAATGAAAAGCTTTTTCTCTCAGAGTGGTCAGGCACTGGAATGGCTGCCCAGGGAGGTGGTGGAGTCGCCGTCCCTGGCAGTGTTCAAGAGGCATCTGGATGAGGAGCTGCGAGATGTGGTTTAGAGCTTGTGGTAGCAGTGGTAATGGGAGGGTGGTTGGTAGCGAGGGTAATGGGAGGATGGTTGGACCAGATAATCTTGTAGGTCCTTTCCAACCTGGTGATTCCATGATTCTATAAAAGCAGGAAGGGTACGATGGTACAGAAGACTTCACGGCTCACCTGCCTTGAAGTTAAAACATAATTACCCCCATTCCTACAACAAACTCCTAGACCTCTTATTGTGCATCTTATTCTATTCTTAAAAGGATTAACTTTCCCAAGTTTTATATTTCTGAAATCATTCAAATATACTCAGAAGATGATCTTATTGCCTAGTGATGACAATATAGTGATTTGAAGATAGCACTTTTTTTCAGGATCTAGTTTGCCTAGAGATTAGAAAGTAACACCACCGACAAAAAAAATTCAAGCAGTCAACAGGCCTGTCAGACCTCTTCTTTTTTCCACCTTCTCTCACAATGTAAGCCTTGAAAAAGGGACACAGTTGTTGAATTGGAAAAACAACTAGTTTCCTCGCTGGTTTCAAACTGGATAGAAGATATACACTGGGAACGACCAATATACAGGTATGTCTCTAAAACCAGAAAAATATGCCGAGTCCTTAGACCTCAAGACAGCTCTTCATTTCTAATCCGACAACAATTTCAGCATAGAATATGCAACCAAAGCTCAGAAAGATTCTGAAATAAACAGAAAAAACCACGTGTATATATTTGTAATAAGATTGAAAACATTCAACTGTGTGTAACAGGATTGCTATACATACTCCGCTCCAATGGAAGTATTCCATTTTTTCTCGTTGTTCAGTTGACTGTAATCTACTAAACTAATCTAAGTAGTTTGCATAAGTCACTCTGTTTCCAGCACAGTGAGCGCTGTATCCATGGCAGACATCTGTCACATCTAATTCACTCATCACTTCTCACAAACAGAAAACAATACTCTGATAAAATTTCTTCCAATAAACAGAATGAGTAAGCAATGTTACTTTTTCAACATTCTCCACTTCTTGGTTACTTAATCAGGCACACAGTATTAATACAGAAATAAAATAATATTGCTAGGTATAACAAATGCTTGGGAAAGGGGGAACCTCATTTTATTGTAATAATAAGAGCCCACCTCATTTGGCTACCAGGATTGCATATGCAGGTCATTAATCAGGCACGCACACACACACACACACACAGAGGAAGATGCATTAGAAATCTGTGATTTAAGATTACCAACTACATTTATTTATTCTAGCAGCCACAAATCTTAACATACCTTCATGTGAGAATAATAGATACAAAACGTTTCTACTATTTATGGTACAGGAGGAATCTATGTATGCAGACTTACAGCTCATACTTGCAGTAGCAGATAAAAACCTAACAGCCAAATGATTACAGTCACCATTCATTCAACTGACTTCAGCAGGAACCTACTGCAGCTTGTAAGGTGATCTCGCTCTGAACAGGACTAAATTTCTTAATTTGGTATGTTAAAAACAAGGACAAGTGTACCTTGAAAACCAGGTCTTATGACTCCAGCAGAAGATACCATGCAGGCCACACTCTGCAGCAGAGACATCATACAAAAAGGTTTGTGGACAGCTGTGAAGGAAGCTTGAAAAAGCAGAGGCTAGCGTTACAGAGACAGTACATTCAGCACCAGCTTTTTAACACACACTGGCTAGCTTCTGTACAGCACAGCATAGTCTAAATGCTGGCAAGCAACAAGATGTTAAAAATACATTTGGACTCTAAAAATACATTTCTGATTATTTACCTTCTGAGTTAGGACACGAATATGAAATCTGAGTTTATACTGAAGCTTCTATGCCTTCTCCAATCATTCAGATAAGTTACCTTCTAAAACGGCAAGTAAGATTTTCCTCTTAACCATCTGTTAGGCTAAAGACATTTAACATCAAAATGAAGTTGACATCAGAACAATGAACACATGCCTCATCAACAACTTGAGTGCTATTTAACCAGAGGAGACACTAAATACAGCAAATAGGACAGTACAGCATTTTCTATTAGACACATTCCATTCCCAAGTTGTGAACAGATGTAACAGGTCCCATTAAGCAGAAAATTATGAGAAGTGTGGGACAGAGCAAGAATAAGATTGTTAAATTAATTTTCTCTAGAAACCCAGTGGTAATTAACTTTCCGAAAGCTCCAGTGCTATTTTCTGTCACTTTTGAGGCACCAAGACACACAGGTTTCCAAAGAAGCAATCACATAAATCTCTAACAAATCAACTTTACCCTCTCACATAAATAAGCAATGAAGTACCCCCAGAAATAAAATAGCAACAACATGCTTCAGCTCTTGTCTGCTTAAATACAGTTGCTGACAGAATCAGAACCCAAGTACTCAAAATACTCCTTGAAATGCACAGCTGTTTTAGCACAACTTTTAAGCAGGAAACACCAAATTATGCAAGAAAAAATTCCAGGAAGAAGTGCCAGTTCATGTGCTCTAGGAAGAAAAAAGCAGCAGCAAGTAATCCTCAAAGCCTCTCAGCAAGCATTGCCAAGAGATGCACTGACATTCTAGACTGAATAGACCATTTATACTCCTGTTTTTTCTTTTTAATCCTCCAGTTAACAACTTCCAAGCCAACTGTCCTGAGCTACAGGAGTTCACATACATAGCAAGAATTCACATTCTTACTTTAAAAACCTGCTGAAAAATCTCACTAATTATTTGACTGCCACTCTGACTTTCTTCTCTTAAACGCTAAAAACATGACAAGAACAGAGAAAAACACAAATATCTGCCATATACATTTCTCTGTCTACACTGGATGTGGTGCTCAGGGACATGATTTAGCAGAGGCTTGTTAGAGTTAGGGTAATATGGTTAGGTCATGGTTGGGCTTTTTGACCTTTAAGGTCTTTCCCAAACGGAGCAATTCTATGATTCTATTTATAATCATTAGTTGCACAGCTGAGAACTGGATTGCTTGAGCAGTATTCCAACAACAAAAACCAGCACCTTCAAGATACAAACAACAGAGAAAGAACTTTGCAGTAGGCCCAGCAGAAAAAAAAAACCAAAAACCAGCATTTTCCCACCCTGCTGTCATTCCTTTAGCCTTTTGAATAGCTCCTGATGGCTTAGCAGCCCAAAATAAGGCCTTCGTAGAGCCCTCAAGAACTGCGACTGCCTGCAGCCAGCACACTGTCAAACCATGCAGTGTTGAAGTCCTCAGAGAACTGAAAGTACCAAGAGGAACAATCAAGTTGAGTAACAGTGAAAGCATAGGGCATTATCAAGAAGATGCAATACCTCAAGAAAACGTATTTTTTTTTAATTACTGAAAAACATTAGCAAGATCTACTGCCTAACAAGAGCAAAGGAAGCAAGAGACAAACTTTCTCAAGCGGCACATCACAACTACAGACAGAAGAGACGTGGTGGGAAACATCAGACCACACAGAAATCAGCAGGTTTTCTGTTCTACTTATCTATTCTCTTATTTCAGCCTATTTTGAAGCTTGCATAGTTTTCATGGGCTACCATTTTCTGGAAAATTCATTTCATTACTGACTATTAAGAAAGCTATCAGCTGGCTTTTAAACTACCTAGAATATTAGGACATAAGATATACCTGCCTGAATACCAAACAGGCATTACAACAACACACATAGCTTACACCAGTCACAAGATAACACACATGGACAAACTGGGCAATTGCCTACACTTCAGGTTGATTTTTTTTTTCCTAAAAAGTGAAAAAGCTTTGATTACAGATCAAATCTTCAATATTTCTCTTTTCTAGAAGACTGCACATCCCAATTTAATTGAATCGTGGAAAAGATTCTTTTTGTGAAGTAAGAATTGGTCAGCTTTAGAAAACAGCAATTTGAGGTTCATACAAAGATCATACGAAGATTGGGTGACTGCAGATACTCCAAGTGATCTGTAACAGTTGCAAGGCACACCTAATTTTCTTACTGGTCTCAGTCCAAAGTGAAGTATTGCAGACCCATAATTGAAACTGAGTTCAACTTCATTTCTGAGATACTTATCTCTAGGTTGGCACATCAGCTGAACAGACACACAAAGACCCAAGAAGGAAAACAAGCCATAACACAAAAACGCTGCAGCCTGGCCAAAAATATGAGTAACCAGATACACAGTGCCAAAGGTCACAGCATCCACCAGAGGTGCTGCTCATGCAAGCCATTGAAAAACAGAAATAAAGAAGTTCCACAAAAAGGCACTAAGCCAGCATCTCCCCGAGAGAGAAAGAACTTACCGCATTTTTTCAGTTACCTTGCCAATAATCTCCCCACTGTATCCAACCCACTAAACATTAAAATCTGGAAGAGATATAGTGATTCTATAGCAACCAGCTGCTGAAATATTTTTCAAAGAGAATGAACTGAATAGAACTGCCAACTACTTTCCCAACAAATTTAGTCCATTCCTAGTGGGAGCAGGAAAGCATGTTCACTGCCGTGAATCAAGATCCAGTGTAAATCTGAGGTCATTACAAAACTGGGGGAATATAAACCAATTCAGACATTCAGGAATAGGTAAATATACAAACTGTAGGTAGGCAAATTGCCATTACTAGAGGGACAGACGTCACTCTATAGGCCTCTTCTTCAGATTAGCAATTCTGTGAGATCTTTTTTTCTGTACTGGTTACTCCCATCACCAGCAGGCCAACTTTACAGATCCATTCATGCCCCTGTAAGAGTCTATTCAAGAATCTTCTGGAAATATAAAGATACACACAGCCACGTGAACACATCAGGTCCCCAGCAGCAGTTACACATGTACATCACTTGGGTTCTACAGTCTTTCAGAGAAAGCACTATTTCAGTAGTCCGTTTTCAGATGCAACCATTCACAGAATCACAAAATGGCCTGGGTTGAAAAGGACCACAACGATCATCCAGTTTCAACTGCCCTGCTGTGTGCAGGGTCGTCAGCCACCAGACCAGGCTGCCTTGAATGCCTCCAGGGATGGGGCATCCACAGCCTCCTTGGGCAACCTGTTAATTATGTTAATCTTTTCCATTATCTACACAAGGATAGGAACTGAACTCAACAGGCAGATGCTTAAAACATCATAGTTAAAACAGAGTCCTATTTTTCCTCTTCATCTAGGTTTCTCGCAGTGTAGTCTTGTTAACTAAGCGCTTCATCTCTTTTCCCCAGCTGTAGAGCACAGCTCAACTAAGTGCCTTGTGTACCTCTACTTCAGAGAGATCCCTGTGCATCATCCCAAAAGCCAAGAGCTTCTTCTTTTACATGGCCCAGCACAGAACCAGAAACTGCTCTTACTTACATTTTAAAGACTATAACCATACTGAGCTTGGAAACCTGTACACAGCACTATTTGTAGCCTTTCCCCATTCCCATCCCCCCCTTCCTGAATCTGGGAAAAGATAACAAAGCACAATAATAAGCCTCCACACAAAAAGAAATTTCACAAGGCTTTTGGTATACAGCTTTCCTAAGTTTCGTTTCTGCATACAAAGTTGTGCTGTATCAGCATTCTGTATTCATGATGCTGACACATGTCTGAATTTTGGTGGGGGGGGTGTTTTTACTTTTATTTTTTAAATAAGGGAATTAAATTTCTGTCACTTCTCAAGCAGAACACCACATTTTGATGTTGAAAATGGGCATCTAAGAGATTCAGCATGAAGATATTTCGTGTATATATTCATGAAAGATATTTTAATGTAGCAGCTTCCCTGTCCCATTCAGCCTGCACTCTGCCTTTCCTAACAAATCCCTGATGGTCTACTTAAGAATTGGATCAAGGTAATCCAGGAAATGCAGGAACTTGATGCTGCTTTAGCAAATTCAAGGAATTCTAGGAATTAAGCAACTTCAGCAGAGATCCCCATCTTCCTTGGTTCTGTGGTATAGCTCTTTTCTGCTCAAAGCATGTACAGCAAGGAGAAAGAAAGCAAAGTGATTTCTGAAGCTTCATGCTATTTCTGATCACAGAAACATTATAATCTATCAGAACCACTTCCAATTAGGAAGGGGGAAGAATCCTCTCTATTACACCGAAGTACTTGAAACTCTCTGAAAAAAAAAAAAAAAGAAAAAGAAAGTAGCACAATAGGCAGAGGGTTTATTATTCAGCTATCAATGAAGCCTACCAAGCACCCAGAAACAACTACCAGCTGAAAAGACTACAGTCTTTCAGCCTGCTGAAATTTCAGCTAGCATGTCATCCCTGGAACACGTTCAAATTCCTCAAGCCAGCAACTAGCAAGAGCCAAAAACACCAAAAGGTCAAAGCTCCATTTCTCTTAGCCTTGTCTCCTAGCTAGTGATGAGACCAGTAAGGAAAATAAATAAAAATAAAATAAAAAATCCTATGTACACCTGCTTTTCTTAGCCTTACAGTTCTCCTTCCTCAACAGGAATTGAGAAGGCTGCATCGAGACACAGTAGCACAGTAGAACTCGCCCAGACTCAACCACCTGCCCTTGAAATTTGGAGTTCCAATATTGAAACTTTCTTTTCCTACTTTCAGCAGAAACAGTAAGAAGTAACAACAGAAACAAATGGAAGTGTCTAAGTACCCGGAGATGCTACATCACATCAAAAGTAGCCCTTGTTGTACAAAGGCTGCA